TCACTAAGTATACGTTCATAGGAACTTTTTTACTTAGGATAACATGTCCTACAATATATGAAAGTCTTGCTATTTAAAAACAAAAGGCTTTGTATCGGAAGAGGGGGAGAACAACGTCTAATTAACTTCCTAATAGCACTTTTGCGTAAGGGTGGGCTGAAATCAAAAACTTTTCTCAATAATGCTATAATTGCGAAATGTAAATAAAATAAAAGCAACATGACTAAAGATACATTAAAAAAGCGCCACCATATTATAGATAGATAATTTTTTATTGGTCATAGATACAAATCAGGTATGTATAGACAACATTATTACTAGTAATTGAAAACAAATAACACTTTTATATAAAAACATACAATAAAATATACAAAATAAATTAATATAACAACTGACAATCACGTTATATAAGAAGAATCAGTTGACATAAATTCATTAAAATCGTAGAATACATTTCTCAGCAAGAATCATTTAATGACTGTTTTAAAGTGTTTGAAATCAAGTTCCTGAGCAGCCTTAGGTAAGACATTAAAAAAATTCTATTGCACAATAACCAGTTCGATTTCTTGATTATTAAAGGATAATCTCAAAAAATTCATATTAAGATTGCCTTTATTGAGTATGAATAATACTATCATATGTAGTGTAATTAATTACAAAGGTGCTCTTTTATGTACAGAAGGCATTGTAATAAGTACAAGGCAAGGTCAGTATATTTAGTCTCCGTACAAACATCTCTATATGTCAAACCTGCAATGATCCTTACAGCCTTTCTTTGCATAGAAAAAACTGATGCAGTATGTACCGAGTGACCCCATACCGAATATACCTTAAGGTAGACTGAATCTTATGTCATTAGAACTGTTGCCTATGACATACATTTTACCAAAATGCACAATAAAGAAATGTTCCGGGACGTATTACGAGTTCTGTGTGTTAATCCCATGTGTCTGGAATTTACTATCACCTAAAAACTTAACACAATTAAAAGAATCGACATCTAGTGTCAAACTAAAAGTCATAGTTTCGGTCCTATCTTTATTCAAAACTAATTGATTACTTAAAGACCTATCTTGAACTAGATATAAACTGTTATGACCTTCATTTAAAAGTGCATATATATCTATGTGGTTGTGAGCTAAAACCGCTGCAAAAAAGTGAATTTAGATAAATCAGTGCTGTTGAGGAAACCGTTGATTATTCTGTTCAGACAATTAATCGTATACTGCAAACCCTTAATAATCATGATTACTATTATAAATTATTGCTGATCGATATTAATTAATAAAAATTTTAATGGGAAAGTAAATAAATATTTGATCAGAATATAAAACTTTTATTGTTATTTTGAACTCGAATTAAAGCTAGTAAGCTGTCTTTGGAGTTTCAGAACAACAAACTTTTACAAAGAAACTTGGCAGTTCAATCCGGATTTTGCTTATTATATAAAACTTAGAATTTGTGAACTGTATCAAACTATTTTCTCGTATTTATGGCACAAGAACAGTAAACCAGAATCTTTAAAATTGCAAATGTCAATGAGTTTTCCAAGCTAAAACGTTTTCCGTTGAAAATCAACAATTATTAGATCAACGATCCCTAGTTCAATTATACGACTTCTTATTGAAATTTCCTATTCGATCCAGTAAAATCACTAAGAAAAGGTTCGTATTCTTTCATAAATTAATTCATAAAATTTTCCAGGCGCCGATTTAGTTCGGGAGGTTAAGAGTCTTCATCAGTTATAAAATGCTCAAATTGTATCTCCAAATATAAAAAAAAATAATTATAACTCAAATGAAGGATTATAAATGAAAATTGACACATAATGTGGTTTTAACTTGTTCTAAATGAGTTTTAATACACATTTATTAAAAAATTGTTGCAAATATATTTGTAGATACCTCTCAGATTTCTTTTTTTTTTTAAATATTAAATTAAGCGTATTCGTATAAGAAAAATTTACTCGTTTAAAACAGTTTTTTACGTTTTTCTTTATAAAAAATGTTATGTAAAGTTACCGACCATTTATATTGGTTAATAAAAAGTTTCTATGTCTAAAAGAATCAGAAAAAATGTGTCTCGAACATAAAATTATATTATGATGCTCAGAGGTATTTTTATAACATCCTAAGTTTCTAAAAAACAGTAATAAGGTCCATTGTACAGAAAATTACGACCGAGCACAAGTATAACTTTTATAATAAATGGTCAATACATACATATAAAACAACTTAATTTTTTTACATGAAATAAACAAGTTTCTTTTGTTCTTTTAATGCTGTAAGTTTTAACTTGATCTTGAATGGATACATACTTCTTCCAACAAAAAAAGGTGTCTTATGTGTTTAAAACTATATTGTTATATGAAATAAATGGGGAAAAATACCGCAATGTGGAATGGATGGACAAAATGGCAAATAGTGGTTTACACTTTACGAATTAAATTTCACACAAAACTGAAGGTTTCCCCTTATCACCGACAGATTGGAAAATTCGTTTTACAAGTTTTAAATACATCAAAGAGGTTAGTGTAGAATTGGCTGAACTGCTCGATAAATAGGTAGTTATCGTTAATTTTGTTAGATCAGGGATTCTGGTAAAATCAATTTAAAGCTTTTTCCTGAATTTTAATATAGTTTTTTTTTCTAAAAACTGTGACCTGATATTTAAAAAAAGTTAAATATGTTTTATTAATTCTCAATGAACGTAGGCGGCATATTTGATTTTGAATATGCGACAGATTTGACCTACGCAACAGGCATTATTAGTAAAGTACCCCTGGATTTTTTTCAAATCAACATTATCATTAATATTATATAATAAATGCAACAATAACTTTTGATCAATTTTTAATTAATTTTTCAATTATGATAAGATAAAATGTTACCATTTTTTTTTCTAAAATATTCCTATACGTTATTTACATATTATAAATGCAACTAAAATTGTATCTATTACTTCCTCATCCCTTAAAGTGAGGAAGGTATGTATGTATTCGTGAAAAAAATTTTGAAAATATTTATTGCATTTCTGGACGAATCTCGACAAATTATGACGACACACAAGATTTCCGACAAAAAAAATTTTCTGTCTGTATGTCTGTCTGGTTCACGATAGCAGCTACAGTTTTTGAGATAAAGCTTTTCATTCTAGAGGTCAAGAAAGAGATTGAGTTCGTTGATGAGGAAAATCGGTTCTTAAAATTTGAAATGTCAAAATATTAGTAACATTTTTGAAATGTCAATTTCAAATGTCAAATTTTTTTTGATATTTCAAATTTTAAAATATTAGTGACATTCCACCAATGTGACTTTCTTGAAACGTCAATTTGAATCGTCAAAAAAATATTAGTGACATTCCACCAATGTGACTTTTTTGAAACGTCAAAAATTACTTTCATTACAAACTCCACCACACATCGAGTTTATTTTGAAACGTCAAAATATGATTTTTTTGAAACGTAAAAAAATGTGACTTTTTTGAAACTTCAAAAATTACTTTTATTATAAACTCCACCACACGTCGAGTTTTACTACGGTGAGGAAGTTTTGAGCCCAAAATAATTGGCAGCGGTTTTTTATTATTGTAGTCGTAATTTAATTCAATTTAATTATGGATTTAATTTAATTAATGGCACAGATGGCTAGAGCGTGTTATATAGTAAACGTGACTACTCATTGTCTAGCATGCTCTTGGGTACGATTCCCATCTCCTGCAAGTGACAATGTGTCCAGGTTTTTCTCATAGCGTAATCCTTTTCAGTACAACTTCAACATTAGGATTTGGAGGTTATTAAATTTATGTGTTTTTTTTTAATTCGTGTTTATATATTTGCAATAAACCTAAGTAAATGTCTTCGTCCCTCACACTGTGAAATGCCACCAACCATAAGAATCAAATAATGAAATAATTACACGCGATCTCAACCAGTAATAAATAATTATTACAAGTTAATAACAAATACATTATCTATTATCCTCTGTAATAATATTTTTATTTTATAGGTATGTGGGTAACATAAGCATTACAGATTAACTTTTATCACTTGTCAAATCATATGATTAAGATAAACTTGCAACTGCGTATTTTTTTTAACAATGATTTTCTTTGAACAGTAGAAACTTTTTAAAAACAAAGATAGTCCTACAGCCTAAATTGCGTAAATTATAAATTTAATGAAAGGCATTGGCCAAGCATCATAATTAAATCTATTTATACGATAGAAACCAAATTGTTAGGTTAGAAAATCAAATTGTTAGGTTAGATTTTGTGCAGAGTAACCCTCTGGAATGTAAAATACCACAAGATTTATGTTTGAGTCCCTTGTCATTTTCTATTTAGATATACAGAGTGTTTTTTAAGTGATGTCGAAAATTTTAGGTGATTCCATGGACGATTTTAAAAAAAAAAAATTTCCATTGAACATGGGTTCGGAAAGGCTTCCCTGCAGAGTTGTGGCCCTTCAAAGTTAAAGAAAAATAAAAGTTGTTTGTCATATTTTTAAAATGACGACATACATCGGTCATATTTCGTATTGACCGTTGGGGGCTACAACTCTTTAATTTGGACACAATAGTTTTATTTTAAAGGTGGGTTTACAGGGGAACCCGGAAGGAGAAAGTATTAACATAACTCTTTTTCAAATGGACCGATATGAAAATAGCCATATGACGGGAAATTTAAAAGGAAAGTTTTTTGGCATCTTGCATTTTTTCGTGGGAGTAGCGGTTTTCACGAAAAAAAAATGGTAAAAACCAAAGTATAAAATAAAAAAAATACAATTAAAAAAAGTTGTCTAAAATTTACTTTTGAATAGTGTTCGCGATCAAGTGGTACAGGGTTATTCATTATAAATTGCCCACCCCTTATCATCATTATTATTGCCTATATAAAAACAAGTTTTAAATAAAAGTTGTGTGGTTATGACTATGATGTTACCCCTACCATATACCGTTTTTGAGTTATTAAACATCGAATATCTTAGTTAAACTAGTTGGGCATGGTAGCTGAGTGGGTAAAAGCGCTACTTACTCGGTACCGTCTATCGATGGTTCGAATCCATCCTGCAGCAACAAATTGTATTTGTAATTTGCTTCGGATTAAGTTGGGAGTGAACTGTCGATGCCGTGGATGTGGTTCGGACTCCACAATAAACTGTAGGGCCTCGTCTCTCTTTACTCAACACAAAATCCTAGGATTTTCTAGGAGTTACTTTGGTGACTTGAGAGGCGGCAAATTGGCGAATCCGATTTGGCAAATTTTGCCAAATCGGATTTATTTTCGTCGTTGGATAATACTTTTTTCCAGGCACACAAGGGCCGACAATCTATTACATCAAATTTATTGTCTCCACTCCCGTATGGGATTTGCTCTAAATTTAGTAATTTCTAATATTGTCTAATCGGAGAAAGAACACCCGCGGAAAGATTCTGATTTCTGCTTTCCATTCACAATTAACCGTAAATGAAATAAATGAACTAGTGCATGGCAAATTCTTGTGATCGTTTGTATCCGCACATTGGGAGAGATATTATATTGTTGTATATAATCTACAAGTTTTGTTTAAAACTTTTTTTGACAACCATGCATTGTTTTTACATTAGCACAACAATTAATGGAAGAGATGCTCATTTCTAAACTAAAAAATGGTATTTTAATGTAGTTTTATTGTTAAAAAAAAATCGACGATGACAATACATTCATTAATGTTTTATCAGATAACACCTCGAACATGTCTGCGAAATAATCTGGATGGATTTGAACTTTACGAATCATCTAAATTTACATAATCCAAAATATTATAATATCTCTCGCGGGCGGTCTTCATAGAAGAATATTCCAATGTTCCCCGACTAAAAACAAATAAAAAACTTATGATTGTCTTTCATTTGATGTACGCTATTAACTAAAAATTAAAGTAGCCTGCCGAACGCGATTAGTCGGTTGAAAAATAAGGGTAACTCTTTCGCCTATAATACTTAATGTAAAAATTAAGTATTATATTTTAAATCGGAGTTTTTTTTTACATTTTTAACCACCCTGTGATATATTATTTTCATATTTGTTTACAGTAAATGTTTTGGTATTACGTAAAGAGATATTAAAAGAGGAAATCTATAGGCTTGTCAATATGTAACAAACCGCGTGCTAAAACAAAGTAAGAGTCGATTTCAAAATAATGAAGATCCTCGATGGGAATATAAAGTATGATATTACAAACAGAAGGAAATCTATATCTGTGTCTTATTAATCTCATTATCGCGTCAGCAGAAAGTTCTTTTAACTAAATTATTCTTACTTAGAAACTTTACCTTTACGCTAACACGATATACAAAAAAAGGCTCGCTTAAGATCCGCTTACTTATTTATTTAAAATACAATATCCAAGGGAACATCTAGTTACAGAAAAACATCACCTTGAAGGAGGAGGAGAAACGAACCAAATATCGCGATCTCCGGTACGAGCTCCAAGTGCTGTACCCAGGCTACTCGGTCAAAATGGTCGTCCTTATTATCGGTGTACTCGGAGGGATAAAGCCTACGCTGCTCTCGGAACTGAAGATCATACCGGCCTGCCGAAAACCAGCTGAGTGGCTGGCAGGTCAAATGCAGAAGGCGGTCATTCTGGGTTCTCTCCGTCTGCTTAGGGCACACGATTCTGGTATCTACAGTCACTAACCCTGCGGGATGTGGGGAGTGGCTGTAGTTTATGCGCCGGCGCGACTCCCGTGAGGCGTCGGAGGCCACGGGAGGACTGACCGGCATCGGGAAACCGAAAAAAAAAAAAAAAAAGAAGGGTGTGCAAAGGACCGGCAACCTCCACGTTGGTGCACCCTGGACAGGCAGAGGCAACTCTGCCTGACTAATGCCGGCCGGGAGTACCAGGGCTAACCTCCCTGGTACTCTTACTGCTCGGATTCCTTATAACCTCAGAAGGGCCCCTCACAATCGAGCCCAAGCGGATGGGGGTCAGAGACAGTTGGGAGGGGCCTTACCGGATGGTCTCAACGTTGACAACCTAGGCACTGAACACGGACGCTTTAAGTGGACGAGGGAACTTCGGGATGACTTGCTGACCTGCCGCGAGAGTAGCGAACCTGAGCGAAGGGGATACATGGCGCGAATGCATGCACTTTGGTGCGAAATGCATCCAGAGCATCGCGCCTTCTCTCAAGAACATCTGAGAGATCAAGTATCCTTTCTGCTCAGGACAGGTTACGTAAGGGCACCCCGTCAGCTGGAAGAACTGCCAGCCGCAGTCCCACCGCGGCAATTACCAGCTGATGGGGAACATCATTTAGAGTTCACCGGTGTAGACTTAAGGACGAGGGTTAGCCTTAACACCAGGACTGTGATACTACAATTCAATCCTGACGAAACTGCAGCTATTAAAGACAGCCAGACAAAATTCGAAGATATTTCTGTTGAAACAGCTTTAAAAACTATTCACAAGAACTATAAAAGACTACATGACGCCATATAAAACTTACAAGAGTGCGTTGTCGTTAGCGGAGTCATTGCAAATAGTAGACGAAGTAAATCGACTGCTGCACACTAGAGAAAAGTTAGCACCTGTGTTAAAAGAAGACACCGGTTTTACCGGATTAAGACAAATTTGTGGTGGTACTGATGGTGCAACCCCAGATCGGTTAAATACGTTCAAAGACTATCAATAGATGTCGAACGGTCGTTCTCAAAATATAATCATATTTTTTCACCACAGTGAACATCATTCACGGAGACAACCATAGAAATATACCTGATGCTGCAAATTTTTTACAGATCTTCTCCAGTTTGTGATAACCAAGCTATTTCATTAAGCTAGTTAAGAGGGTAAGTTGTGCATACATTGTTATAAATTATAACAGTTTACTGCTTTTGTTACTAGTTAATTTCTTTTAATACACTGATTATGATGCGTACGCCTATGTCTCGCCGCACATTTCTGCCAACTCTGGACTTTCCATCGCGCGCTGAAACTAACTACTTCACTGAGTTGGTTTTTTTATTTAATTATTAATCATAATTGCATAATTGTGTAAATGATTCAAAAATACACGTTAAAAATAAACGACACGGATAAATTCCCCTTATCATGAAAAAAAGTTCTCATGACGAAAATGCTTCGTTAAAATAATATTTGATTTGAAGGAATGGACGGAAAAATTTAATGTGAAAAAAATTTACTGTTGGTTTATTTTGACAGTTATTTTTGACTAAATAATTTAATTCACTGCACTACTTTCATAATAAAATATAAAATTGAAATCAAAGAATGGAAGAAAATCAATACATTTTTTTAAAATTGTGTAGCAGTAAACCAAAAAAAAAATTCTATTATTACAATGTGATCAAAATGTAAATCATTATATAATTTTCTTTATTTAATCAGTTAATTCTATATAAGATCATCACGAGTATAATACATTCTGAATTTTTAATTTAGGGATATTTACGTTTTTATAATCAAATTTATCTTCATTTAAGAATGTAAAGTGCTCATTAATCGGATTAATTGGCAAGAAATGGGCATGGAAAATCGATAAACGGAGTTAATCCAAACAAGTAAGACAGTTATAACAGTAATGCGATCATTAATTAATATCTTGTGTAATTAAAATATAAACACAATATATATGTGTTGCTGATACTAAATGTACTATTCGAGAATTATTTTCGTGGGAATAGCTTTTCTAACCCAACGTAAAATTGCTATTCCACACACCCGATTATGAGGGTCGAACCGAATTGTGGGACTATTACACATTGACGTGGGACTCAATGTTATTACAAAGATCGAATAACTTGAAATAAACATCATTTTCATACACGGGACAATTTCCGTGCGTCCAGGGCCGGCACATGGAGTAAGAGACGAGACAATAACAAACATTTGTATGGAACAATTAAAATACATGCCTAGAATTTCTTAACATTTCATGAAATCTCCAGTACTGTGTTGAAGGTATTATTGGTATAGATTGCGAGACAAGGGCTAAACAAGTTACATGAATAATATTGAGAAACGTGGATCGTAAAAGCCTGGCAGCTCTACACATACACTGTGTCCCAGGATAGATGCAATAAGAGGTGTATTGGACAACAAATTGTCGAATTTTGGAAGGGGTTAGTCCTCATTGATGTAAAACCGTGATATATCAGAAATAAATTGATCGATGTTTTATAAGTCAATTAAAAATCGTTTCTAGTAAACTTCATTATATTTCAAGATTTGAAAAAATTACACTAAAAAAGTTTAGAGTACAATTTATTCTCCTTACTAAACTTCAAAAATATACATTTACTGTCCTTCTAACAAATTGTTGGCAACGGGATGATAGGTCAAATTAAAATGCTACGTTTCGTTTGTTATGCATAAACTTCCTCAGGGCTTAATAATCAAACTGGTATAAATATGATTATTTTCCAAATCACAATAAATTTAATAAAACCACTGTAAAGAAATAGTCGTATTTATATCAATGTGGTTATTGAGCTATTGAACCCTGAGGAAGTTTATGCACAATAAACGAAACATAGGCAAAGTAGCATTTTGAATTGACCTCTCATCCTATTGCCGACAATTTGTTAGAAGACCAAATTATTAAGGTCGAAATTTCTTCAATTTCATCATAAATTTATTTTGTTGGAACTTTTTTTCAATATATTATGTATTTCATTTTGAATTTTTAAACATTTTTGTAAGTTGAGAGTACTATGAAATCACAAATATCTTTTCTAAAATAAATTAATATTATGGATAACTTTTGTTCTTAACGCCTTATCTTATTTTCAACAATAAACTGACTACTATTGAAGAAAGGTGCACTTCCAACAAAGTAAATTTAGATTCTTAAAATTTGGTAAGTGGGCACAAATTGCATTCTAAACAACTTTTTCAATAGCACTCTTTCATATATTGAAAAATAAAGGTAGTATATTAGAGACGAGTTTTGTAAATTGATATAAAATACCCTATGTAACACCAAATTAACTCATTTTTGACATATCATAATTTTACATCAAGCAAAACTGATTCGAAAAATGCTATTCCAAATGTCGAAAACTCTG